CAGGATTACAAGGCCAGCGTTCTAACCGCTAGACCACCGTGGCAGGTCATTCAAGGATATATGATAATAATTCAATTCAATTCATTCATAATAATAATAATAAGTCCTAATTTATGTATTTGAGTAAAATACTGGGCGCAACTAACGGAATCCAGCAGTTATTATTGGAAAGCTGATAGTCGCTCAGTTAGTCAAAAAAAATTTTAGTCTTTTATGGACCCCAAATATTCATTGGCGTGTTTACAAGTCTGATATTGGGCACTGCCCTGAGCCTGGTGAATCCAGATTACACGCTCATATCCGGCATCATAAATATCCATTTTGATATTGTCCTTGCATCTATGCTTAGGTCTTTCAAACTGTCGTTGCTACCTGCGCTCGCCGACTAAAGCGAGGTTTACATTTTATAAAATCCCCATGAGTGATACTATTTCCGCATCTCTCATTCGCCCTGATTTGTTCTAAATAATATCTGGCTAAGAGTGTAAGTTAACTAAGTGCCCTAATTGGTCCTCAGATGCTAAAATTATATCATCAGATTTTAGTAAGATTCGTACCTGTTTTTATCAAAATCCGTCAATCCCTCCACCAGTTGTAAATGCACCGGGCAGGTGTAAGCACGGAAACGTCTGTGCTAACTTCCGCTTGGTGTAACAATGACCTAACTACTGAAATACGTGAAAAGAGCAGGTTATTCTTTGTCTTGTATAGACGTGTAAATCTGGTCTCTCGTTCTGGGGAAGAAGTTCGTAGCAACTGAAGAAAAATTTGATGGTGAGATTATTTGGAAACAGAAGAATCAGCATCCGAAGAACGCAGGAAACAGTGCAAAGAGCTTCTAAATTTGTATTCCTCATCTAATGTTATTACTATGATTACACTGTGAAGGATTCAATGGTCGAAACATGTAGCACGCATGGGGAAATGACAAGCACATTTACACAAATTTGATTCGAAGACCATACGTGGAAAGCACTTGGTAGATGGGAGAATAATATTGAAATGTATCTTAGAAAAATAGGTTTAGTAGAGCAGGTTTGTCACCACGGTGGTAATATACGAGGTGCGATCGGAAAGTTTCCAGACTGTGCCTATAAAAACCCGTACACTTATCTCAGGTATTAAATTCATCCATCACCCTCGAAGTAGTTCCCCTGGGAGTGAACACAACGATCCCAGCGCCGCTGCCAAGCCTGGAAGCATCCCTGGAAATCTTTCTTTGTCAGCCTGTCAAGCACCATCTGCGATTCTGCCTGAAGCTCTTCTATCGTCTCAAATCTCCTCCCCTTAGCTGAATTTTCATCTTTGGGAAGAGGAAGAAGTCACACAGAGCTTAGAAAGGAAGTTGGGGTCGGTTCTTGCAAGATCTTTGAGCTCCTGACAAACGAGAAGTCAAGGCGATTCTGCTTCTGGTCCTCAGACAGGAACCTTGGCACAAACTTGGCTGCGATGCGTCGCATGTGGAGTTCTTCCTTTAGAATCAGCTGACAGGCCCCATAGCCTATCCCAACAATGTCGCACAAGTCGTTGATGGTACGACGTCGATCTTCGTAACAGTTTCGGGCGTTGTGCTCGAAGATGGTCGTCCAGAACGCTCGTCATCATCGACAGAGGTTCGGCCATTTTTAAAACGTGAATGCCACACAAAAGTTTGCGGACTCCCCAAATGCTTGCTTTAGCATTTCATAGGTTTCCGTAGCCGTTTTGGCGAGTCTTTGGCAAAATTTGATGCACACGCCATTCCGAAATCGCAGGAGGGTCGGTGATTCATAAAAAATGGGAAATTTCTTGACGTATTGAATGTCTTTAAAATTTTCTAAGAAACTTCAGTATCATAGAGTTAGATAGTGTATTGAATGTGGCTGATTACCTGAATACGACTTATAAATTAACTAGTGGATTAGAAATTACTGCAAACACACTGTGTATTTTACAGTTCATCGAAGGCCTTCTCAGATGTCACAGGCTGAAGAATTGTTTTCTGTCTGAGACCCCTCCCCCCTCGGTTTTGTTGTAGTTCAGTGGAATAATGCAGCCATATATGTGGTCCGTACATACGGGCTATAGGCTATGTAGCGAGTTCTTTTAAACCCGTTTCTTAGTCTGATTACGAAAGAATTTCAGCAGAGATGTTTCGTCGGCGTCCTCTGATTGAAATAAAAGAAAGAAATTATGTTTAAAAGAGACCTGAAACAAGTGAACATAGATAAACTCGAACCAGATCACACCCAAAGAGTTTGTATTAACTCGACAAAAAGAACATTTTAAAATGCAGAAGAAACTGTTGAGTCCATAAAGAAGAAAATAATATCTCATGGGAACGCAAAAGCAATTACGTAAAAGCTCCTTAAATGTAATGAAGTCTCGTATATTAGGAAAGGTCTCCTTGTCAGCTCTTTGATGAGTGCCGGCAAGCATCGAATATCCTAGGAATCTTGGTCAGGAATGAGACAGGGTTGTTGGCTGAGCGTCCTATCTCCAGGCATTGCCTGCCTGACTCTGTTCCCAGCGCCCTCGTTCTAAGTCAAAGGCAACTGTACGAGAAATATAGAGAATCAAAGTTACACATGTCTATTAAAGATTCAATAGATTCACAGACCCTTTCGGACTGCGCAGGTTATGTAATGGTAAAATTTTAACAGATAGCATCCAGGTTAAAAACTCGACCGATTTCGTATAGTTCCTATGAAAACAATCGACCTTTTTCCTTCTACATTCTCTGTTATTCACTATTATCTTCTAATCTGTTTGGGCGGAATACGTTTATGGATATGTAACTATGTACCCAGTGAGAATTGTTAATAAATCAGTAATAATAATAGTCAAAACTGAGTCACAGTTGAGATATTTGAGAAGATGGTAATAAATGTAAATATAATATAAATCTCATAACATTTTCGAGAATTTCTTGTTATCGTTCGGATTACATTCATTTGTCTTCCTGCTGTAAAGATTTCTCAGGCGAATCTGTTAAGAGTACTTAACACGGCTAATCGCCAGAGAAGTCTTCACTGTATTCAGTCGTCATGAAAGCTTCGAGTGTTATAAATATTTTATTTTCCTGTATTCTATTTTAAAAAACGCGAAGATTAAAATATAGGTCTGCAGAACTAACATTGTGGGCGTGGAACTTTGTGCTGACCGGAGCACGGTTATATAAGTTGACCAGACATGCTCAAATGACACAGGGACAACAAAATTAAACAATGTCAGTGACTCATACAGTAATAGTTAACAATTAATAATTTGGTGGACAGAAATGTTATCCTGGTAAATAAAGCAGAGTGACATTTTGGTTGGACACATCTGATCATGGCGTGAGTTATCAATAAATAATCTCTCTTGTTTGAGCATCTAAGTAACTGGTAATCGGATTATGTACACTGATTTAGCTAACAGTGTGTTCATTCAGGCATTTTAGTACCTAATTACATTCCTGTCAATAAGATGGCTGCCATCTGGGTTGTAGCGCCGTGTAGTCTGGTAGACGTTTACCAGTGTTTCGGAGGTCTATGCTGCCTCCATCATCAGGGCGATGTTAAACTTCTACTGGTCTACACGTCACTACAATACAGAAGATAGCCGGATTAGTACTCACCGCCGATGGAAACTTCAAATCCTATTTGATTAATATCAAATTTTATGGGCCCATTTATTCGGGTTCTTCCTTGGAATTGTCGGGTGAATTCAATTTGGGTTCAGGTCATTAATTGGCTTAATTTCGTGACCAGAAGATGATGATTTAACATTAATTACAAATCATACTTAATCGATTTTCGTAAAAATGGTCCATATTACACAACACTGGATCTATTCAGAAAAACAGACATCATTATAAATTAAATTATAAATTTCTTTTAAACATTTTGAAGTTATTTCAGATAATTTTAACGCATACAAAGTCTTAAGTATCCGACTGACTCACGTATGAACCTGCCATAAGATAACGTAATATATTTCTGTTTTACTTACAGATTAATGCAGTGTGACCACTCCTACACCTCGGAATAATGCGCATTCCGACATAATATTTTTCGCATGTGTAAAGTGTACGTGTGTCGTTGTTGCATGCGGGTTTGATGGTTTCTTCCTTTAATCTACCGAGAATTCCACTGCTGGAAACACTTACGAGCTACGATTCAACTTTGTGAAAATAAATAAAAAACAACTTCAATAACCCATGACGTTGTAATTTAGTGTTTTTGAACAACTTTATAACAGATAGCAAGTATACATGTTTTCATGATTTGTCACCAGAGCGCAGGACGAAATCGTAGTAGAAGGATACCTAATAAAGTATTCGAAAACGATATTAGAGCATCAAAGGTAAAGTGAAATCACGAATTAATTAAGAACACTTAAATTCAGATCAGAATTTCTAATTTGTCATTTCTCATCTAGAAATCCAGAGATTAAAACACACAAAAAATATAATCTCCTCTGTGTTTTGGACGGGTTTATTTGAAATTCTTTGATCGCCCTGAGGGATGTGAAGATTGTATCTTAGAACAGGGCACTGAGTTGAATGCCTGGACCTAAGAGCGAGGAAGCGATAGGAGGCACATGAAACAGCATAATGAGGTGCTCCGTGGTTTCTCCATTCGTGGTGATCGAATCGAGCATTATGATGTGTGTGGGGGGGGGGGGGAAAAAAACACGAATGGAAAATGAGAAATGCATTCAAGATTTTAGTAAGAAATCCTAAAGAGAAGAGACAACTTTAGAGACTTTGAGATATTATTAAAATTTATTTTACAGAAATAAGATTTAAGGATGTGGATTGGATTAATCTGGCTCGGGGTAGTGTTCATTAACTGGCTGCTGTAAACACAGTGCTGAACCTTCGACCTTTGGTGTCAGAAAATTTATCATTTCGGTCAGTTTCTTGTTTTTGTTTTACTTTGTGAAATTTCATATGAGAACATGGGATGCATTAAGGTTCTTAGCTTTTTTTTAAATTTTCTAGTATTTAAATTCATAGATTATTTGTTTTGTTTCAGGTTCTGGACCTATCTCACGGAGAAGACTTCAATGTCGTCGACCGAAAGGTAAAGTAATATTTATTATTATTTGTAGATGTTCATCTGAGCATACTTTTATAGGCTTATAATCTATATTTTTATGATCGATTTATTAAAATTTTAAAATTTAAATTTTTTTAAATTTTAAAAATAGTTTCTTTATTGAGGTCGTTGACGGTGCAGCTGCTTTATATAAACAGGCGTATTTATAGTGCATTGAGGGTCCAACTGCATTCTGTAAGCATACGTCTACATAGTGAAAATTACTGTTAAGTAAAATTGTTTTCATTTATCATTAGAATAACGATGTAACATCATGTTACTGGTTCTTTAAGCAAGGAATATAGAATTGTAGGATATTCCATACACCAATCAGACAACCCTTCTTGTAATTCACAGTCGCAACTTCGTAAACTTTAACTATATCATAACAAATATCCTTATTATAACACCGAAATCCACACTGCAGCCTGAAGTTAAGATACATAATCGACTTACTATAGTGAAAGTAATTATTGCTGTTGTATCGTAATAGAATGGTATTTTATCTTCTTTTCTTTTCTTGAGGGAGGAAAGTAAAGTAAAGTTTGTCCCGCTATGCGCCATGTAGGCGTTTGGGGTGAGAGGAGGTATAGCTCCTCTCTTCCTTGACCTCGGCACTAGATGGGGGTGAGTGGTCAGC